TGTCCCAATATGTCCCAGTCTATCCCAGCGCAACAGCCGTTGCCGGGGAAGCAGCAGCTTTAATGGTGGTTGGGGGGGGAACAACAGGATGGGGAGGGGTCCCCCGGACGCCTGGGCCCCTCGACGGCAGGTCCCGGGGCCCTCGCAGGGGCCCTCGCTGCCACCAGGGGCCCAGGCGTCTGGGTGAAGTCACAGGGGCCCAGGCGTCCAGGAGAGATGTCAGAGGGGCCCAGGCGTCCGGGAGAGATGTCAGACGGGCCCAGGCGTCCGGGCAGGTAGATAGAAGGGACCCAGGTATCCCAGGGGAGTGTCCGCAGAGGGGCCCAGGCGTCCGGGTTGGGCAAGGCTGGAGGAGCCCAGGCGTCCGGGCCCGTTTGCAGAGGGGCCCAGGCGTCCGGCTCAGATGGCGACGCTGTTCTCCACGTTGGGGGGATCCAGGTAGGTGTAGGGCAGCTCCATGGTGGCGTTCCGGGCCCGGATGTCCCTGGAGATCTGGGCCAGCCGGTCCTGGAAGTCCCTGATGAGGCGGCGCGGCGCCTCCTCGGTGAAGAGCTGCTCGGGGTAGCAGCCGAGCGGGCGCTGCGGGGACACCCGGACGCCTGGGTCCCTTGCCCGGACGCCTGGGCCCTTTTCCGGGCCTTGCAGAACACCCAGATCCCTCCCGGACGCCTGGGCCCTCAATTCTCATCCCTGGATACCAGACCCCCAAGTTCCCATTCCTGGACGCCTGGGCCCCCCAATTCCCATTCCTGAACACCAGGACCCCCAGTTCCCATTCCCAGATGCCAGGGCCCTTTCCCCGGACACCTGGGCCCCCAATTCCCATTCCTGGATGCTAGGGCCCCCAGGACGCCTGGGCCCCCAGCTCCCGTTCCCAGACACTTGTGCCCCCAATTCCAATTCCCGGACGCCAGGGCCCCATTCCTGGACGCTGGGGTCCTTCTCCAGGACACCGGGGCCCCTCAATTCCCATTCCTGGATGCCAGGGCCCCATCCCAGATGCCAGGGCCCCGTTCCCGGACGCCGGGGCCCCGTCRCCGCTCACCATGTCGAGGGGCTCGTTGCGCAGCACCCAGAGCACGGCCAGGGTGATGCAGCTGGTGTTGACGGCCGGGAGGGCGTCCAGGAAATCCCGCTCCGAGATGGGCGCCTTGGTGGCCGGCGGCGGCTCCCGCATCGCGCACGGCATGTTGGGCAGGAAGCCCAGCTCGAACTGCCGCGCGGGGCCCAGGCGTCCGGGAGGGGCCCAGGCGTCCGGCAACGGGAGTTGGGGGGCCCAGGAGTCCCGTTCAACCCCCCCAGAATGGGAAAAGGGGCCCAGGTGTCTGGGAA